ATGATTATATTATGTTTAATATGTCATGACACAAAGTATAATACATTGTTAAGAGTAAAGCTTACATGTTTTTGAGATATCCTGGTGACATGACCTATATACCATTTTATGTGTCTTGACAAATGGCTATTTATCTGGTTTAGGGCAAAGGCTTCAAAGGTTTCCTGACTGCTTGCAGATACATGTATTGAGCTGACTTGTTGGTATGTTAGTTAACCTTGTTGAGTTACAGATCAAATTTACAAATTGTTCCGCCTTAATTTTTGAAAATAATTACAGTTTTTTCCATTTGTAAGTTTATGCAGTTAACACTTGCCTGAAGGGGACTAGTATTGCTTATGCAATAGTCTCAGAATGCTTGTTACATCCCTCATAAACAAAGATCAGGGGGTACATTGGAATCAACATGCACGTCTGTCTGTCCTTCTACCTATCTTTCTGTACGTGTTGGGACTTTGAAGCAATTTTTCATGCAAAGGTTAAGGCCAATAAACCACTGTGTAAAATCTTATTCGGAGCATATTATCTCTTCTCTTAGCTCACTTGGGCTCAACTTCATTCATGGAGTTCCCTTGGGTAGAGGATGTGCAGTAACCTGGGACCAATTTATAAATGAAAGATCAGATTAAAAAATATCTGCATAAAAAATCCTTGTCCACAGCCTTTACTCAGTCGGACTCAATCTTCACATATAGAGTGTACCTGGGTAAAGGGTGTGCAGTGAACTTGAATTAATTTTCTGGATCAAAGATTAAGGTCGATCAAAACTTTTTCTGTAAAACTCTTGTCCAAACCATATCTTCTCTCCCCTTGGCTCAGAAGGGCTTATATTTCACTCATAGAGTGTATAGGGGTGGAGTGAGCGCAGTGACTTTGAACTAATTTTTATAGATGAAAGGTCAAGGTCAGAAACCTATTTATGTACAATACTTGTCAAGGGTATATTTTCTCTCTATTTTCTCTCTCCTGGCCCTTAGGGACCTTTCCTATTTTCCCTCCTGTCCAACTGTGGGTTTCTTACTTTAAATCTATTAGAAAATAGATGACTTTCTTTATATTTTGTGTATGCAAAAAAGAAAAAAAAACTATTTAGGAAAACTACTCATGTGGACCCTCACCTGACTTGTTGCAGACGGCTAACCCTAACCCTCTCGGTATAATTATCATACTTGAGTCTGTACAGCAGGGTTAAATCATCATTATCTTAATTAAAATAGCATGAAACACGCCTGAGTTGTGATAAAATAGATAAAAAAAGAGTTAATTTCTCATGTAAACATGCTATATTTGTATGCTGTTAAACTTTTCAATGGCTTCGATCTGTCTCTCCCTTTGCATAGTACCTAATCTCATGGTACTTGGGAAAAGTTCACCAGCATATATTTAACCTATACTTCCAAACTTTAGGAAGGGCTACGCAGTGAGTATTATGTTGAGCAAGTGCTTCAGGGTAATTCTCAACCCCCCCCCCCCCACCAAAAAAAAACTCACCTGAGCTAAAGGCTTAAGGAAACTTTCCTGAGTAAAAATGTGTCTGTCAATAATTGTCTTTGCTACAGGAAACCATCAATCATCTTCCAAAAGGTGATTAAGCTACTGAGTAAAATTTAAGAGGAGTCTTTTTAGGGAAAAAATGTTATTTTTGACCTCCGTTGGGGCCCTAGGGTGAAAATGAGAATTCCAAAATTTGTAACACCTCTACAAAACACCAGCAATCACCTTCTCAAAAATGATTCGGCTACTGTGTAATATGAGAAAGGAAATCATGGAATCAGTATTTTTTTGGTAGAAAAAAACATCTTTTTACCACACCCCTTCCTTTGGGCTCCAGAGTAAAATTAAAATTCCGAAACCTTATTTCACATCTACAGATCACCACCAGTGATTAGGCTACGGCGCAAAATATAAAATAGGTTCTAATAACCAGGTTTTAGTAGAAAAACGTCAAAACCGTTTAAAATTAATTTGGTAAAAATAATTTGACATTGTAAAAAATGATTTTTTCATACTGCTTCTTTTAATAGTTACATTCTGTGTGTGTTTTGTTTACAAGGTTTGTGGAAAGCTTAAGCCTTCAAAACACGGTCTCATAACTGCAACAGTGTGTTTCATAACACGCATTTCTTAATTCTTCTGCACACACCGTTGCAGTTATGAGACTACATCTATCAAGAAAATAATAATTCAATACTTAAATATCTCACCAAACAAATTGCAAAGTGCCATGTCATGATAAGATGACAGATCATTGCAATATGGTTAGTATTTTCGATGTTTTATTAAGATGTGACATAGTTCAAAATTCAACCTTCACTGTAGCTCAGTCGGTAGAGCGCTCGCTCTGTGATCGGAAGGTTGTGTGTTCGAATCACGGTCGCGACTGAGCTAATTAGATAAAAAAAAGGTTACACCTGTTCCTTCGCCAAGCGCTCGGAACTTTGAAGTGAAAGTTGCGGGTCATTTGGATGAGACCTTTAAAACCGAGGCCCGGTGTCACGGTAGGCTTTGAAACGATGAAGAACCCTCACTACTCAATGGCTTCAGTATCAAGTAAAGGTCTAAATTTGGAGCCCTTCACCGGTATATGGTGACGTCTCTATATGAGGGGAAAATTTTCGAACGGGACGTAAAACAATACTGAATTAAACAATATTTCAACATTCATAAAAATGGAATGAAGGGTCATTGTTTACATTCTAAGACACACTCTAATATCTATGAATTATTTTGGCTAGGTTTCTTTTCGCAAATTCCTGGGAAAGGGGGAGGGGGGTATATCTCTATTCGGAACAGTTCTAGTTTCTACCATTTATATTATTAATATCTAAACATTGTCAGATGGTGCAAATTCATTAAATATTGCTCTTGGGGGTAGAAATGTGTCATGAAGTGGCATCAAAAATATTTGTTGGATTAGGGAGGAAAAAAGAGCTGTTGTGACTGTTGTTTAATGTCGAAATACAAATGTATAATTGGGTTAGGTAATCATGTTCTACAGATATATTATTGTTTCAGTGAAGAGGTTTCTGAGACTATGACCTTGGTTATACTGATCACAAGAGCATATTACAAAACTTTATGCAAACATTACATATTTGTAATTAAAACATAACCAACTATAGCATTATTTGTACGTATACTTCTGTGTATTATCTATGTATACTTCTATCTGTATATTATTTGTCTGTAAACTTCTATCTGTATATTATTTGTATATATGCTTCTATCTGTATTGTGTTTTACAGGGCCATTATATACATGTATATAGGTTAATGTTCTGATTTTGTTTTGACAGATTCCCCACGATGTGCTGAGCAGTTGTTAAGAGGATGAAGAAATCACCACCTTACAGGTTTTCATATTTCCTTCACATGTGGGAGTTCGCACGTTTATAAACTATAATGTAAATGCATCCAGTGCATTCATAGATGCACATTTAAATCATCAAATGTTATTTAAAATCGGTTAAAATCAATCAAGATAAAGTAAAAAGAATGATCAAGATGAAAGCCTTCAAGCTTTTAATATTGTTATTTAAAAAAAGTAGACATGTTTTTTGTCATGGTAAAAAATAAGGTAATGAATTATGGAGATAAAGAAATAATTAAAAAGATAATGAAACATAAAAATACTTTTTGTAGGAGTGACATATCATAATAATTTAATTTTGGATGTATTCTAGCCTCTGATTAGTTAATATCCAAAAAGGAACACAGGTTAAATTTGTATGACCTGGTTTTGTCATGGGGACACGCTTCTCTCACAACCAGCTTGATCATCTGCATCCATGCAATTCCCTCATTTCCAGTCCTCAGGGTTCACGGCAAATTCCACATTTATTAAACGTACCTTTAACTTCAAACAATAACTCGATCTTACAACATGTAAAGAACAACAAGGCTGCTAGGCAATGTATCAGTTTCTAGATCTCCTGACTACCGTTGCTAGGGTTGTTTTATTGATCGGCATAATTTGAACTTATTAAAAAGCAATGAAATTCTACATTCACAATGCTTTAATGATTTTAAAATGAAATGATAAGGAATGACTCTAATTCTTAGTCAAGTTTTTTCGAGTTTAATCTGCTTTGGGTCAGTTTACGCTGTTTTATAATCCACTTCGCGGGTTATAAAGCGTAAACTGACCCAAACCAGGTTATACTTGAATAACTTGGCCAAGAATTAGAGTTATTCCTAAAATGTCCTATCTTTTCTCTACCCAGAACACAGACACAAGATGAAAAAGTTACGAAAAGTTACTGTGTCACGAGACACTGTAGATAGGTTACCAGGTACAAGTAATAAGTGTGATAAACATTTCTCTGTTACTTTTTCATAACTGTGTCATAGCACACTGTAGATAATTACCAGATACAAGGTATCAGTGTGGTATACAATTTTCTATAAGTTATTTTTTAACTGTGTCAAAAACGCACTATTGATCATTCCTATTATAAATAGTGTGTCATATATCAATTACGAAAATCTATACTTAATTCTGACCAATATAGTAACTTATGAATTAATATTTGTACAAAAGCAAGGTTTATTAAGACAATTCTTATATAAACTATAAAATGTACACACTGGACTGTAAAAAAATGTAGTAAAATATTATATTCCATATTATGATCTATAAGAATCTTAAAAATCTTTCAGTATTTTGCAAATCATATAATTATGCTTTTATTCGTAAATATTGATTTGTTAGACAGGTATCTTTGAGAACACTTCTGACTGGCATTCATTAAGTCATTGTAAGCATTCAGCACCCAGTGTAAAGGTATTTATGTTTATTTTGCCTTAGTTCTTTTCAGTTCTATAACTTTTTAAAACCAAAACATTGATTCATGAGTGAATTGTTAATGATGTATATAATTATAATACAATGATGTGATTTATAGTGAAATCTCCCTGACCGATGAAATAAACACATGATTCTGTTATGGAGGGAAACAACATGGAAGAGACAAGTTAAGAAATAATTGTCTGCTTTAAATGATGTTTAGAGCAGTGAAACAGAAATCTGTATCCGTGGCAGGTGTTAGGTGTGGTCGTCACATTTCCCGTGTTACGTCAGACCGTGTCTGGATCTGTGATGATAACAATCTTATCTTGACAAACACAGCAGGTGATCAACTACATCATCTGACGGGTATACTCAGTGGTTATGGAGTACACACAGTGAATAATGAGGGCGATTTAATTTATATAGACAGAGAGTACAACATCAACAAACTGTCTACAGATAACACAGTAAAGACTACTTTAATAAAGTACACAGCACCGTGGGAACCACGGTGTGTCTACAGCTCCCCCTCCACTGGATACCTGCTGATCGTGATGCGTAATACTGATACCAATACAGGCAAGGTAGTGAGGTATAACTCCACAGGACAACACGTACAGTCCATACAGTACGACAACAAAGGTCAGGAACTGTATTGTATACCTAGATACATCACAGAGAACCGCAATGGAGATGTTGTTGTGTCTGACTGGTTCTGTGTAGTGGTGACGGATGGTGGAGGGAGTTATCGCTTCTCCTTCAAAGGACACTCATCAGGATCACGACTAGATCCGCTTGGAATCTGTACAGACTCCCTGTCACACATCTTCGTGTGTGATTATAACACCGGCTCAGTACTGATAATTGACAAAGATGGACAATTCCTGTCACAAATAGAGACCCGAGAGCACGGGATTGACGGACCATGCGGCCTGATTTTTGATGACAAAATGATCTGCCTCTGGGTTGGTTCATGGGACAAAAACACAGTGAACATATACAGACTCGGGGATTCTCTGACTGGTAAGTAGTACTGTTGTATGATTATATTTTACATAACATTTTGTGTATGAAATTTTGAGATAACAAACATTATTAAAGCTAAAAAGTGAAATATATGTAGATAACGAACAGTATTCAAGCTCAAAAGTCCATTATACAATACAAAATAGGAGCAGAGCAAAAACGGACCTCCAAACATCAGAGGTGTGATCAGGTGCCATGGAGGAGTGAGCATCCCCTGCCGACCGGTCACACCCGCTGTGTGCTTTTTGTCATGATCATTACTTAATGATAGGTTATATTTGCTGATAAGGATATTGTATCGACAATAGACCTTGTAATATGAGGACGTTAAACTAGACTGCTGATATTCGTGTTTCAACAACTTTTTGTCAATAACCTACCTAGTTTTATTTGTTTGTTTGTTTGTATGTTATTTAACGTCCCTCTCGAGAATTTTTCACTCATATGGAGACGCCACCACTTGCCGGTGGAGAGCTTCAAATTTTGTCCTATACTCGGCACTTACGGCCATTGAGCAGTGAGGGATCTTTTTCGTGCCAGCACCTACTGCGACACGGGACCTCAGTTTATACGGTCTCATCCGAAGGACCGGTCTCCACGTCCCACAGTGGGATTTGAACTCGCGACGTAAGGATCAACTCCTTACTCCGCGACTCTAGAGCAGACTCTCTAACCACTGCGCCACGCGGGCGACATACCTAGTTTTAGAAATTAGTCATACGTAGACCATGCTCTTGCGTATCAAATCAATTGAGAGTCATAAACCTCATATGAAAGTGATTAGGGTATATTGCTATAAGTAAGGGAAATTGACGATTGAAAAGCTGAATTCATTACATTTATCATTAAGCTTGGTTGTTAGTTTACCATTAACGTCCTTTTCGGGTAAAATATGTGTACAATTTATTATTGTCATAGTTAGAAGTATACTTATAAGATATTAATGAATTATTCATTGCCGAGATCAAAGAAATGCCGCGGACATTATTCTCCAATAAATCACGAACGTCATCAAAAAATTATCAGATCAGAAACACATGTCAAATCTGTACAGTTGAAATAAATATTTCACTGTATAATCTTATACTTATTTAGACTACATCGATGTGTCGTCTTCCGCAGTCTAAACGTGTGTATTGCCTGAAACAGCTGATAAATATCCGTTTTGAACCAAGTGGGCTGTTCTACGGACCTCCCCACAACATTTACACTCCCCGTGATTTTACTGATAAATCAATGAAATAGACAACTGGTTTTGTTATTTTTCATTCATAAAAATTAATCAATATATGTTACAAGCAAATTTATAAATAATTAAAGGATATTTTTAATCCAACAAAAGCTGAAATCGTCTGCAAGACATTAGTGAACGATTATTTTATTAAGTATAATTTTATAGATCACTGCTAAAGTGAAGAAATGGAAACCAGTACAGTTGTTTGGTTTGTAGGTTAACTTTATTTATAGATCACTACAAATGTCAGTAAATTGAAGGGGGTACAGTTGCAAAATGGGTGAGGTGTGTGGGTTGGTGGATTGGGGATTAGGGGTTTGGAGGTGACATTGTCATAGTTCTTAACAATAAAGATAATATATGGTTCTTTCAATTAATTCAAGCAATATTCAGTCACAGTTACTACAATGGTTTACAAAAGTCAACAGATGACATTTTGTACATGTTGACAGTTTAATATAGACACAATTTATATTAATACAGCTCTGTCTAGGAATGTTGTACATTTCTGTAGCAGGTGTTCAGTAATTGTATACTTCGTATACTGGGTTGACAGTTTGCATGGTTATTGCACAGCAGTTATTGCACAGCATTTTTACAGTTTAAAAAGAGGCCAAAGTTCAGAATAATATAATTTTAGTTAAGACCTGTTGGAAATGCAATGAAATAGTGATTTATTATGATGATATTGATGTGTAAAAGTAAGCATCTGTTATAATAATTCAATAATAGCACTTATAATAGCAAAAAATTTTTTAAAAATAGTCCAAAATATTCAAGAAGAGCTGAGAACTAGAACCCAAAACAAATTAAAGAAAAGTCTGAAAGATAAGAATCAAAAGTGATTCCAAAGAATAGTAAAATAAATGCCTTTTTCCGGCAAACCGGTTATTTTATGCTTAGGGGGTATTCATGTTCTGAATATTAAAGTACGCCGTATTGGCTACCTTACCATCGCCTTGCCACCTACTCTTGTACGTAGTTCTGTCCGTTGACCTATGAACCCCAACATGGCACAACTCTCCAATCAAGGTATACATGCACCTACATAAGTTTTATGTTGAGCTCAGTTTCCATCTCAGCACCACAGATGTACAAGGCCTGATCTCTTTTACTTATCAACTTCAGAGTTCCCAACTTTATTGCTCTTGGTCAAGAATCTTAATGGTACATGTAACTTTGCATTTCCGTTCGAATTTTATTACTTAGTATCGATGGGCCTTATTAGTGTATTCTGATCAATTCCATTACAAAAAAATTTACAAAATTATAGTTCACAGTACCAACATCAAAATCCAATTTGTTTTAACAAGTTAAAATTCATGGAATTAAAGTCCCTTTTCCAATTATAAAGTCACTGCATGTGGTACACCATTAATGTCAATCCTTTTATTTTAAGTTACTGGTACTAATAAGCTCTCTATTAATTGCTAAAATGATTATGATATGAATATATTCCAAGTTTACAATGTTCAACTAATAATGTTTGTTCTAAGCCCTATAGGTTTACAACTCACAGTACCTCTGGTTCATGTTTGTGAAATTTCTGTTACAACAGCTCTAGTGTAACACACACATGTAGCTCATTTTGTAACAGGGTCTTAGGAAAAGTTAAACTATGCTGTTAGTGTGTTTTACCCGAGTCGGGATTCTTAAGGCAGTTTGACCCTGTGTCAGGTCTGTGATACTGTAAATATCTTTAATTCCATCTGTTAATTTTTTTTTTTAAAAAGTTTAAAAAAAAAGATTTTCGTTGTTCGTAAATGTCACAGGTTATTTTTTGTTTAATTACTTGTATTTAGTATTTATATTTTAAGGCAAAAATGAAAAATATGAACATTTATCTCAATACATATAAAATATATATGGAAAAATCATGGGGCGAGTTGTCTTCATATCAGTTGTGTTGAGGGGGGGGGGGGTTTCTGTCTTGAGGGGTAAGTTGTTCTTATTGCGTTTTGACTTCATGTTCACTGAATTCTTTATTATTGAATATTTGTGACTCAAAAATTATTCTTTAAAAAATGAAATAATTCGTAACATATGTATCAAGTAATTTACGTTATGCCAATGCTACCAAAGTAGGATACGTCAATGCATTTTCATTTTGATCAATAACAGCTACAGAGCTCAACATTAACTCTAAAACAAACTAGACTAGTCAGTAGTACCTAAAAATTTTACTAGACTTGACATCAACTTCACTAGACCTGGCCTCAACTTCAAAAGTCCTGCACTGAACTTCACCTGACCTGTCCTTAACTTTACTAGTCCTGACCTCAACTTCATTAGAACTGACCTCAACTTCACTAGACCTGACCTCAACTTCACTAGTTCTGCCCTCAACTTCACTACTCCTGGCCTCAACTGAACTAGACCTGACCTAAAGGTCACTAGACCTGACCTCAATTTTACAAGTCCTGGCCTCATCTTCAGTAGGCCTGACCTTTTTACTAGTCATGCCCAATGCCTCACTATATCTGACCTCATTATCGTCACTAGCACTGATCTCAACATCACTAGTCCTGACCTCTAAAGTCACTACTCCTGACCACAATTTAACTAGATCTAACCTCAATTTCTTATATCCGTAGATTATTGAATGTCTTTTTGAACATTACTGGAATATATTAAGATGAAAAAGACCCATTGTTGAGTAAAGAATAAAACAAGTCAATGATTACCGAAAGTTGGTCTTTTTCTGTGAGGTGCAAAAAATAAACAATTTTATTATAAAATAAACTTCAGTTTATTTGAGTTTAGGGAAAATATCAGAAAGGTAGACACATTTCAACCCGATTTAGTTCTAGGCATCGTTATGCCCTAACAAAAATTAACTATAGTCAATAATAGTTGAAGTATCCACTATCTGTTCAGTATTTGTTTATATTGTAGAATACTGGAATTTATTTTCTTTTTGTTCTGTATCCATTTTACAGCCAAGAATGCAACAATAGAGAATATACAAAATATTACATTGGCGACGAGAATCGATAAGTGAAGAAATATATCGGGAATTAAAAGGTGTAAACAGAACAATCAGGTATGACGCACATCACGAGTTCCCCTGAATTTGACCTAGATAAAGCAAAACAAACGTGGGTAAAAAATGGGAAAAGTACACGACCCGTTTAGAAAACGTCTTCCTTGCAATGAACATACGGGACGATGCCCGAAAAAGAGCTCTTTTGCTCCACTATGTAGGAAAACACACACATGAAATATACGATGCTCACAAAACGGAACCTGAGCCTGTACGACTCAGCTAAACAGACCTAGCGAAAGTGTTTACGCCAAAGAAAAACGAATTGGTCGCGGAACAAGAATTTACTTCATGCAAAGAAAAAGAAGACCAAACAATTAATGAATATATAACAGAATTTCGACAGCTTGCTAGATATTGTTTTTTTTTTTACAAATGACCGCATTAGATCACAACTAATTTCAGACTGTCAACTTTCTCAGGTAAGAAAAAAAGATTTCAGAGAATCAGATTAATTCACAAGCCTGGATGCTGTGGTTGAATTAGGGAGGTCGATGGAGGCAGCAGACAAATATTCAGCCCAGATTGAAAGGAACTTAGGATGCGCCAAAGCCATCTCCACAAAAACACAAACAACAGAAAAGCTGCAGCCAAATGTGACAAGGGAAGATCAAGGAACATAAAACCAGACAAGGCTTACCACAAATCAAAATCAAGGCCAAATTCACAAAAAAGGACACCTGCTTTAGATGTGTGTGTGTGTGTGGGGGGGGGGTATAGCCACACAAATCCAGATGTAAAGCTATGGGTGCTACATGCAACCACTGAGGCAAGGAAAATCACTTCAAAAAAACCAAAAAAGACCACCTAGACAAGTAAGGGTTGTGAACTATGAGACCGGTAATGTACAAATCAGAACAGGCAGTGACAGTGATGAATATGCATACAGCATTAAAACAGCAAAACAAGTTCTAAAACGAGGCCCAAAAATACTGAAAACTCTTAGAGTTCATGCGAAACTCAACAACATATCATCAGAATTATTAGTTGACACAGGTGCGTCAATCAACATAATTTACCAGATAACCTATCAAAGAATCGGGTTCATTAAAGAGAAGAAAGATAAAGGTCCCAAACTACTTCCATATGGAGGAAGAAATCCATTAAAACTCAAGGGACTCTGAAACTTCATGTGGAGACAATGACAAAACATGATCTCTACAAATTCCATTTTGTAGAAAGAAATTATGGATCCCTTATTGGATTTCACACTGCATCAGACCTTGGAATTGTTCAAGTCATTAACAAAATATAACAAAATATAACGGAGTCAATTGTCCAATTGAAAAGTACGAACATCTCTTCAATGTTATAGGAAAGTTAAAGAATACAACAGTCAAACGACACATTAACAAAGACAATAATACAGTAGCTTTGCGCCACAGAAGGACACATTTTCATCTGCACGATAAAGACATCATAGAAAAAGGTGAAGATGAGCCAACCACTTGGATATCACCAATATTAACTCCACCCAAAAAGGATGGTTAAGAAATCCGCCTCTGCTTAGACATGAGAGAATCGAATAAGGCAATAATACGTGAAGGTCATATCATGCCAGCTTTGGATGAAGTTGTCAATGATCTGAACCAAACAAACTTGTCAGTAAGCTTGATCTGTGTCACGATATCATCAGCTAGAGCTCGATAAAAAAACCCAGATACATCACCAATTTATCACATCACGTATTTATCAATACAAGAGACTTAACTTTGGAATTTCTTCGGCTTCTGAAGTAATCCAAGAGGCAATGCGTAGTGTCATTCAACACGTCGAGGGAGCCATAAACATATCAGACGACGTAAAAACGCTGGAAGAACATGACTAAGCCCTTGAAGAAAGATTTGATGCTATCAGCAAGGCTGAGTTAACGCTTAACAAAAAGAAGTTCCAGTTGAATTAAAAGAAAATATCCTTCTTTGGTGTAATATTATGCCCAGAAGAAATTTCCCCTGGCCCAGAAAAAGGTCAAGGCAATCAAAAAGGCGAAGCCACCTAAAACAGTTAAGAAACTTCGTAGTTTCCTGGGCATGACCAGCTACACCTCTCCCTTTTTTCAAACTATGCAACTGCTTTTGAGATTCTCAGGAAACTTACACACAAGGATGTACCTTGGGAATGGAATGAACACCATAAAAAAGACTTTTAGAAGGCAAAAAGAAATTCTATCTGACAAAACCACATCTGCATACTTTAACCCCAACTAGGCAACTCAAGTTATCGCAGATGCTAGCCCAATAGGTCTATACGTTAGGAGCTGTTTTGACACAGAACAACAATGTTATAGCTTATGCTAGCCTAGCTTTAATAGCAGTTGAGAGCAGACATAGGCAGATTGAAAGAGAGGCACTAGCCGTTGTTTGGTCCTCTGAGCATCTCAAAGCTAATATATATATAGATCACCTGATTTCACAGTAATAGCAGTCCACAAACCTCTGGAGAAAATTCGGACCAAACTGAAGTCAAACCAAGTCATTTCTTCGGATTGAACGATAGGGACTTAGAATGCAGCCATACAAATTTAAATAGAATGCATACCGGGTGAGTTAAACACTGCAGATTACCTCTGTCGTCATCCTCGAGAAGGTAATTTTCATCAGGTCATGAGGACTACGTAAACTTTATCTTCGAAACATCTGTACCCAAGGCATTGTCACTCGATGAAATAAAATCAGCCACAATATCAGACAAACCAATCCAGAATGCGATTGAATTACCAAAAACAGCCAATGGCGTAAAGTTAACCAGCTATAAGACAATGAAGATATCGACATTTTATAACTAAATACTTTCCGGAGCCTACAATATGAGCTCACTGTACATACTGACAACATCTTACTCAGAGGAACTAGAGTAGTGATACCCAAAGGTAACAGAACTCGGACCATATACATAAGAAGGACATCACGGATTCACCAACACAAAATCATTTATTCGTTCTAAAGTCTTGTTTCCAAACATTAACGAACATAACATAAACGAAAAAGTTGAGAAGATTATTGGAAACTATGTTGCATGTCAAGCAATGGGAAAACCTGTTATACAGCGTGAACCACTGAAAATGAGCCCTTTACCCGCAAGACCAAGGGAAAGACTCAGTGCGGACTTTTCTGGTCACTTTCTATCTTGAGACTACTTGTTTATAATAATAAATGAGTACTTGAGGTACCCAGTAGTTGAAAACATCAAAAGTGCTTCAGCAAATGCAACCATTGCTGGACAGAGTGATAAGCATATTTGGAATACCCAAGGGTATCAAGACAAATGGCAGTCCATTTAGCTCTAAACAGAGTGCACGATATGCAGACCATTTAGGTTTTTTGACACAGGAAGATCACTCCATATTGGTCAAGAGCGAATGCCCAAGCAGAGGCTTTCAGTAATCTCTAATGAAGATAGTAAAACCGCATCCATTGAAAGAAAAATAACTGGAAACAGGAGTTGCAGAAATTTCGTTGTTTGTATAGGTCAACGCATCATTCAGAAACCGGAATAACACCATACACGTTACTTTCCAACAGATACTCTAACACGAAATTACCAACCATAATGAACTAACCACTCAGCATGAACGATTCTTGCTTGGAGGAACTAGTACGCAGAGATGACGACCTGAAGAAGACTAAAATGAAATCCAGAGAGGACAAGAAAAACAAAGCAGCCAGTGAAACAGGAAAACGAATAGGAGATTACGTGATCTTAGAAGATAAAGTAATAGAAAAGATAACTTCAATTTATGATCCTAAACCATACAAAGTTGTGACTAGGAAAGGACCAATGGTAACAGCAAAGAGAAGAGAGTGGAAAGTGACCAGGGACTCGTCGAGGGTTAAACCTGTAACATTTGATAAACTAAACGACCCAGCGAATGATGAGGATGAAGATGACGCTGACTCTAGTCCTAATCATACACCAAAGACCAAAAGTGATCCGCCATCTTTACAAGAAAATCAAATTGCGACAAGATTAACAAAATATTGATACGTATACATATTAATAGTATAAATAAATGTCTCACAATCAGTAACCTGTTATACAGACTATTAATAATTAGATAAAACAAGAAGAATTTTCCAAAACAAATATTTTCATTATATTTTATTTTTCATCGGGATAGAAAAAATGAAAGTGAAACCTGATCTAAACATTGATTTTTGATTTAATTGAACCTAGGGGTATTTTTACATGACCAGTCGGGCTACCCTGAAGCAAAAAAAAAAAAAAAAAAAAAAAAAAACTAAACTGGACCTAGACTAGGCCCGTAACTATTAGAGTCAGTCTAAGTCGGTGGGATGTGCCTTAATGTTCAGCCCTATACCTGTTTAGTCAGTATGAGTTGGTAGGACTTGCCAAAATATTGAGTCCTGTAGCTATTTGGGTCAGTCTGAGTCTGTGGGACTTGCCATAATATTGAGTCCTGTAGCTATTTAAGTCATTTAAGCATTGTGACCTATAGCTTCTTAGACTCATGTGTAGTTTGTGCTGAAATGTAAGGAAACTAAATCTAGTTTTTATGTTTTTAGTAATGGTTTGTTAAATGAATGGGAAAAAAATGTGTTCTGGTAAATATTCTAAGAACATGATTGTTTTTGTGTTAGATCCAAGCAGTGACAATATAACCATAGTTGATGAGTTGAAGAAGTTTTTGAGGAAGAAGAAGACAACTGTTTCCCATGCCAGAGGAATACTTGTTGGATGTGCTGATGCTGGAAAAACAACACTACTGAAGCGATTAAGAGGGCAGCCTCAAAATGTCGGTGAAGACACAAAGTCCACCAGGGGACTGGAAGTCCATCAACATCTCTTCATTGTTAGAAACAGACTTTTAGAAGGTAAACATAATTTCTAATATATAGTTTATTGGGAAAGTTGATTCAGATTCAAATCAGATCCTCTATTATATTAATTCTTCTAATTTCTGCAAAACATTTTATATAGGTAACATACTTTGAACATCAGATATACGCAACTAGAATCTGTTCTGTTAAAAACACGTAATATAAATCACCCTGAACTGAACCCAAAGCTGTAATAGTAGAGTTGAAAGAATGGTACAACATACAAGTTACACTTGTAGGGATCAATCCCTAGACCGTTAGATTATGTTTTTAAACAAGGATAAAATTTATAGGTGTCCCACAGTATTTCATTCAAGAAATATGGTGGGATGCCTAATTGATTTTCCTTTAAAGTGCAGCATTTCTGCAATAACAAGGCTGATTTTTATGGACTGAAAAACTGCACAGGTGTACATAAACTTTCTATTGTTTCCAGAATCATGAACATTTTTAGTGCACTATATTTTCATTTATTTATTTATTTATTTATCTATTTATTTATTTAACCGGTTAATTGTATTGAAAATGGATGGAGTGATTATACCCTGTACAACATTAGATATTAGCTATTAAAAATTAAATATATTCAATACAAAAATACAAACATGATAATCCAAAATGCCTTTTAATATTGAACATAATTACATGTACTTTTTATCAGGATTAACTAGATTAAGAATAAGATAGAGATAAATCATACACAGACCCCCCCCCCCCCCCCAATAAAATAAATGAAAACAAACACAAAACACACACACACACACACACACACACACACACAAACAAACAAAAAAAAAAAAAAAAAAAAAATACATAAATAAAAATAAAAAAAAAAGAAAAATAAGACAAAAAGACAAAAAAATCAGGGGACGTCATTTCATTCATGAGTATTTGAAACACTTCTCGACAAAAGGTAAATCTTATTTCCTTGTTCATCTGTTCATTTGTACAGAATTTTTAGCGAGTATGGAATCTATTGTTTTTGTGGACAGATTTATCATTTTCTCATGCATGGATCAACGGCAACCCAACTTCCAAAAAAATTTATTTGGGGCCTCTGATGAAGAGTATCTGATAACTATTTTAAAATTTGGAAACATATTTTCTAAGTCGCTGTTGTGCTTTAGCAGCTCGCGGTCAATATGGTTAAAAATTCACAATTTCTTTAAAAGTCTTCATGTCTGCACCTTGGTATTAAGCAAATGAACCAAATACATGGTTATGATGAACAATGGTACTTCTACCAAAATTCTGAATTTCTTGGCCCCTGGGTCAGGGGCTCTGGTGCCTGTGTGTGTGGGGGGTGGGGGGGGGGGGTGGGGGGTGGAGATGGAGGGGTTTATAGCAACCACTTATGATAAAATGCTGCTTAATAGTAGCGGTTTCTGCAGGGGTAAACCGCAGGGGTTTCTATTGATTATCTAGTGAAAATGCACTATTTCTTTTAAAATCTTCTCTGCCGCTGGATTTTGAAGTTTATAGGAGGGCTGTTATGAAATTTGTGAGATATTTACTTTAACTCTTTGAAAGAAAGAGATCCATTCACGGAAATCCTCGAAAATTTTACCAAAAAAAAAAAAAAAAAAGAAATGTATAAAGTATAAGTATCAACTCAGAAAATCCTTTTTTAACAGTGATTGATGATGACTCACCATTGAAGACGTTTATAAGAGTAAACGCTGCAGATTTGAAACCAGACCCGAGCAGTACAACAGACATCTCTGATTCAAATGAAAACAGGGACAATTTGGATCTGAAAAGCACTGATAAAAACACTAAAGTAATTTTTAGAAGAGAGGAAAATAAAGAAGCGAATGTTGAGTTATCTAATTCACAAATTAAAAGCAAAGAAGAAGAGAATACAGTAGAGAAAATGGCGAGTGTTCTCTCCTCAGAAGCACAAGCAATGGTGAAGGATGAAATTTTTCAGAAAATTTTGTCTGAAAAAGAGAAATTACCAACAGTAAGCATGCTGGATTTTGCTGGGCAATTGGCCTATTATGCGTGCCACCAAATTTACGTAACACCGAAGGCCTTTTTCATCCTTGTGTTGGACATGACTAAGAGGTTTGAGGATGTTGTCAGTAAAGAGAAGGACAATCAAGAAGGATCCATCTTCTCTGTGTGGACTTACAAAGGTAAGATACATGTAAAATATTGTCAGATTTTCAATTTTTGTTTAGAATTTAAAATAAATCGTTGAATGAAATTTCGTTCTAATATTCATGTTTTATACTTCTACGACTACAGATTGTGCAATTGATTACCAATGTACTGAGTGTGTAACCGGTTATCCAGTTACCAATTGCCATCTCTTGTAAAAATAAATATTGTTGCAGTCTTAAGAATTTAACTGTTTAAAATGGGATAGACAAACGATCAATGTCTTTTTAATGTGGCATACATCTATATTTATACCTGCACTTTCTAAAGAAAGTTCGGGTATATTGTTGTTACTGATGTCTGTCCGTCCGTCCGTCTGTCCGTCCGTCCGTCCGTCTGTCACACTCTTCTTTCTCAAACTCCTCTTACATTTTACACAGTAGCCTAATCATCTTTTGGGAGATGGTTAGTGGTGTCCTGTAGATGTGCAGTAAGGTTTCGGAATTTTCATTTTCACCCTGGGGGTCAAATGGGGGTCGAAAAATGACGTTTTTTATGCAAAAAGCCCCTGGTTCCCTGAACTCCTCTTACATTTTACACAGTAGCCTAATCATCTTTTGGGAGATGGTTGGTGGTGTCCTATAGATGTACAGTAAGTTTTCGGAATTTTCATTTTCACCCTGGGGGTCAAATGGGGGTAAAAAAAAGAGACTTTTTTTTAATGCAAAAAGCCCCTGGTTCCCTGAACTCCTCTTACATTTTACACAGTAGCCTAATCATCTTTTGCGAGGTGGTTGGTGGTGTCATGTAGATGTGCAGTAAGGTTTCGGAATTTTCATTTTCACCCTGGGGTCAAATGGGGGTCGAAAAATGACGTTTTTATGCAAAAAGCCCCCGGTTCCCTGAACTCCTTTTACATTTTACACAGTAGCCTAATTATCTTTTGGGAGGTGGTTGGTGGTGTCCTGTAGTTGTGCAATAAGGTTTCGGAATTTTCATTTTCACCCTGGGGGTCAAATGGGGGTCGAAAAATGATGTTTTTTTTTTATATAAAAAGACCCTGGTTCCCAGAACTCCTCCAACATTTTACACAACAGCCTAATCATCTTTGGGATTGATTATGATTGATTATTATTGTTTAATGCCTAGGTGGCAATATTTCAGCCATATTTTGGCGATTAAATTAAGGGTATATTCCCATTTATGAATTTTGACGCAAATTTAAGAAAAGTGAGGACAAGGTTAAAGGAAAGGTCAAGGTCAAAAAATATTGATGCGGTTGAATAGCTCTCATTAGTATGTATCAGCATATGAAGTTTGATTTAAATATCTTGAATGATTTCATGAAAACTGAACTAAATATTAGTTTAAGAAAAGTGAGGTCAAGGTCAAAGGAAAGGTCAAGGTAAAAAAAAAAATGCTGATTCAGTTGAATAGATTACATCAGTATGTATCAACTTATGAAGTTTGATTACACTTTCTTGAATGGTATCTTTAAAATTGAGCTAAACTCTAATTTAAGAAAAGTGAGGTTAACGTCAAAGGAAAGGTCAAGGTCAAATAATGTTGATGCAGTTGAATAACGTAGATCAGTACGTATCAACGTGAGAAGTTTAATTACACTATCTTGAATGGTATCTTTAAAACTGAGCTAAACACATTTAAGAAAAGTGAGGTCAAGGTCAAAGGAAAGGTCAAGGTCAAAAAATATTGATGCAGTTACATAGCTCTCATCAATATCTATCAGCATATGAAGTTAGATAAAAATATATTTGATAGTTTCTTTGAAACTGAACTTTAAACAGAGCTAAACGGAAAGACAGACGGAAGGATGAAAGGACAGAAGACGGACATGACAAACACTTTATGCAGTTATGCACCAGCCATATTCATGGCGGGGCATAAAAACAAGGTAAAAAATTTTGTTTGCATGCACCCTTTCTCAAAACCACCTCTCCATGTTCCAAGATTGAAGTTTAAATGTCGAAAGGTTCTTAAGTTATGGTTTGGAGGTGTTTTTCTCAATTTGACCTTGAATGAAGAAAGGAGTCAAGGTCAAAATTTTAGATCAGTGCATCTTTTGTAAATGTCTTTTTTCTATGTTACAAATTTGAAATCCTAATGTCAAAGGGTTCTCAGGTTATAGCCTGGACTATATTTTTATGTAAAGATTGACCTTGACCTTATTGTAAGGTCAAGGTAAAAAAAAAAGTTTGGTGGCCTCAACCCCAATTCCATACCACCTCTCCATGTTTCAAGTTTGAAGTCTTAATGTCAAACGGTTGTCTAGTTAAGGCTCGGACAAAATTTGATTGAAGAAGAAAACTGACAAAAACAATATGTAGACTAGTATAGTCTACTTGTTGCATCAAACCTGTAGGAGGAGTAGTTTTGAAAGAACAAATTTGTTTCTACATTATGTAATGAAACTTTCACATAAGATTCAACTTTTCTTGCCTAGTGGTTCTTGAGAAGGAATTTTTTTTCTTATACAGTAGAGCATGCTTATAGCAAAACAAGTCTATAATGAATTGACACTTGCAGCAAAGCGATTTTCATTCCCCGTGACTTTTAAATATATTGTAAATTTAATGGATATATGCAATTACAATTATAACAAAGCAAAACCGTCCGTCCCAGGCACTTTGTTATAAGCGTGTTTTACTGTACATTCCCATGTTTACAAAACTTTGATCCCTATCGTGGCCGCACCCTACCCCTGAAGGTCATGATTTGGACAAAGTTGAATCTACACAAGTAATGAAGTTTCACATAATTTTAAACTTTTCTGGCCCAGTGGTTCTTCAGAAGAGGATATTTGAAATAACATTAAATTTTCACTCATTCTTAGAGCTTCAGAGCTTAATCAATTTTAGGAGATTGTGCAAGACCTGTTTTTATTCTTAATCATTCTTAAAATATTTATATCACCATTCCTGATTCAAGGGAGAGCTAGGCATATGATCTAAAAAGTCCATGATCTATTGATTTAATAAAGACACATGTATGTTGTGGGAAGATCAGTAAATAATGATGACAAGTGGGAAACGACCGGGTTAATATTCACAAATTTTAGGAGTTTTCAACATTTAAGACCATGCAGACACAACTCCTTCCCCTTTTCCCCCTTCCAAGCCCTAGGCTTGTTTATTTATACAAATTATTTATAACTTGTTTTGGTATAAAATAAATTGTGAATAATACAAAAATGTACATGTACACAAAGTAATGATGGGTCTCTGAATGATTTTCATTTTCTAATTCTAGGAGGATGGACTGACCCTAGGTGGTCCTGAATTAAATGTCAAGCAGATTATCACTAACACACTTTTGACGCAGGTCATATTGTGATCATTTCCAGTTTCAGGATGAGGATGACTTCAAGGGTCATAACCTTTATACCATTTAATGAATAATGACTCAAGGGACAATATTATATATGGTTAAGGGGAGAGTTTTCAACCATTTTCAAGATACAATGTATATGATCATTTGAAGTTTTAGGGGTTGGGAATGACCTCTGGGGGGTCATGATCCCATATATCCTATTTAGTGTGTTATAATACAAAGATGACTTAGGGGCTTTTGCTCTAATGACAGCTATTTTATTGTTTCCGGTTCCAAAGATCGAGTGGAATGACCCCAGGGACTTGCCTCATTAGATAATTTGTATAATTATGGCATTCCAATGATCTTTGACCCTTTTCCACCTATAGGCCCCTAACCATTTTCATTTCCGATTATTTTACCCCGTGGAGTAAGGAGTTGATCCTTAAGTCGCGGGTTCGAATCCACTGCGGGACGTGGAGACCAGTTCTTCGGATGAGACTGTACAAACCGTGGTCCCTAGTTGTTGGCACAAAAAAGATCTCTCAATGTTCAATGGCCCTAAGTGTCGACCATAGGTGATGGCGTCTCCATATGAGCGAAAAATTCTCGAAAAGGACGTTAAACAACAAACCCGTTCTATACTAAACGTTTAAAATAACATATTCATAATGTACTTACCACCTGTTATAAGTACTGTTAACTTGATAGAATAATAAATCCATTTAAAACACACACTAAATATTAATAATCCCAGCGGTAATAATGATGTACATACACCATGTGCAAAACAATAATGATAACGGTAAAAGTAGTTCTCGCAGTGTGACGTAATTCCACGCACGAGTCTAGAAATTTTCCAAAAAGGTGTACATTTGTAAAATTTATATTAAAATTACATACATTTTTTTTTCATAAGTTTGTGTTAAATCTATTCGAAATATGACAGGAAAACGGGTGAATCGTGGGTGGGGTTGATTTTTGACAAAGTTGATTGGGTCAAGATTTGGAAAGGGGTTCTCCGAGTCCTACCCAAATACTGATAAAAATTTGCACAAGTTGTAATTTTGGCATCTATTTTTTTTTAAGTTCATCAAAATAGCTATGCACTAAATTAATAATATTTGTTGTTTTGACAATAAATTCAAGAAGTTCCAATTATGGGTAGAAAATTAACCACCCCCTTTTTTACACAAATCTTTCAAAAATTCTCTCTTTATCAGAATTTACATTATTAGGTAATACCAGACTGGTAATGAAATATTTACATGCGCGGATCTAGAGGGGGGGGGGGTCTGGAACCTATATACGAAAGCAACTAAAAGTGACCTTGGACCACCCCCCCCCCCCCCAGAATACACGGACCCTTGTTAAGTTGGTACCAAAAGTTATACATATGAAGCTTAAAAAGTGAGCAGCCAAACCCCCCTCTCCCCACCCCCACCCGTCACTTGACAAGCCAAAAAAATTTATTTTTCAAAACTCAGAATACTCAAATATCCTATTTCGTGGGGTGGGGTGGGGGTGGGTTCCAACTTCTTTCAGTACCCCAATTTTATATGTACACTACTACATTACCTTTATTTGACTATCATGCAACAAAAAGGGGGGAGGGGGTGGGAGAAACAACCCTTTCAAGAACATTTTCAAAAGTAAAAAGTTATGTTTCGAAAAAAGTGGGTGGCAGGCCCCCTCTCCCCCCCCCCCCTCTCCCCCCCCCCCGATCCTACGTGCCTGCATTTAAAGGCAAACACATTAGTGTGGGTATTACTCTCTTATGACAGCATCTATTTTTTTCGTTTGTTTGTTTTTTTTTGCTTCTCAGGAAATTGGGGGCTAGAATTTTTTTTGATTGAGGTGTGGAACCCCCTCCCCCCCCCCCCCACCCTCGGAAAAATTCCTGGATCTGTGCATGTGACTGAATGTAATGTCGACAACGGGAGATAACTCTTCAGAATGTGAAATTCGTCTATTGGGGCATTCGATGATCTTTGATCCTTTCTAAACTTTAACCTAACCATTTGCATTTCGGTTTATTTTACCCCAATCTATACTTAAACTTGTACTTACCGACTATCATAGGTCCTGTCAACTTCATGAAATATAATCCAATTAAAACACAAAATGAATTAATTTCTACTGATATACATGTAATGATTGCACCATCTAAAAATAATAAGGGTAAAACTAGTACTAGTAGGGTGACGCAAGCCCAATGTGATGTAAAAATTTTCAAAAAGGTGTTCACGTACATGTACAGTACAAGAACAAATTCTAAATTATAACAAACGATGTTTTAACATAACTTTGCCATCTAGGCCTATTTCCAAAAACAGGCAAATTGTGTGTGTGTGTTTGGGGAGGGGGGGAGGGGGTGACAAAATTGATTGGGTTTGGCTTTTCAAGAAGGTTTTTGCCTAATCAAAGACTAAAAAAAAGTTTGCACATTTTGATAAATTCATTAAAAACGCTTTGTACTAAAGTAGTATTATTTGTTGTTGAGAAAATAAATTTTAAAAAGTTCAATTATGGGTCAAAAATTTATATCCCCCCTTTTATCAAAACTTATTTTACATCATTAATTAAATTCTGTTATTTCAGACTGGTAATGAATTAAGGAAATACCTATAAGAGGCACATAGGTCACATGGTCACCTGAGCATTTTATGCTCGATTTGACGAAACATATACTGTGTAAATTGTAGAATTATTTTGACTTTTTCTTTGGTAAGCCCAATATGAAGGAGTGTGCATTTAGAGGCACACCTTAGTGCGGGTAATACTGTCTCATGACAGCATCTAGTATTTAATGTAGACATAAAAAACACATATTCAAGAACAAAATTGTTTAACAAAACTTAGACAGCTTTTAAAGTTTTGAAATAAAATGAAGATGAGTGACACTGATTGATCTTTCCATTTTCAAACTTTGTTAAGTAGGACATACATTGTACATTGCTGCAGTAAATAATTCTGCATATTTTTTCGCGAAACATTAATAAAAAAAATACATATTTTTTAACCTGGTTATATGAAGTGAGCTTTTCTGATCACATTATTTCCTGTTCCTGTCTGTCTGTCCTTCCGTATGTAAACTTTTTACATTTTCGATTTTTTCTCTAGAACCACCGGACCACTTTCAACGAAACTCTCTTCAAAGCATCCATGGGTGAAGGGCATTCAAGCGTTCACTTTTTTCAAATGAAGGACCAAGCCCTCTTCCAAGAAGAGATACTTAACAATAAGTTATAATTTGATGATATCTTTTAAACATCTTTTTTCAAGAACCACTAGGCCAGAAAACTTGAAATTTATGTGATGTCATTACATACTGTAGATTCATGTTTGTTCAAATCATAACCCCCAGGGGCAGGATGGGGCCACAATGGTTGATAATTTTTTTGTACATGAAGGAAAAAATCTCAAGAAAAAAAAGCCATAATATATGAAGATAATGAGCAAGTATCATCAGAATGTGTAGATTTAAGTTTCCTCAAATCATGACCCTCGAGAATAGGCTGGAGCCACAATGGGGATTAAAGTTTTACATAGAAATATATAGGAATTAATCATTAAAAAACGTCTGAAGAGGAAGAACAAAACCATGATTATAAACATTTACAGGGAAGAATCCTCAGCTTTTGTTTGTTTGTTTGAATGTTGTTTAACGTCACTCTCGAGAATTTTCACTCATATGGGGACGCCACCACTTGCCGTTGGAGGGCTGCAAATTTAAACCTATACTCGGCACTCAGGGCCATTGAGCAGTGAGGGATCTTTTTCGTGCGAACACCTACTGCGACACGGGGCCTCGGTTTATACGGTCTCATCCGAAGGACCGGTCTCCACGTAAATGGAAAAAAATTATAGAAAAAAATATAGGATCTTCAATGATTTGTGGTTGCATAAGATTTTTATCTAACGTGGTTTGTGTTTCTATCGCCGAGCCTTGGTGAGGGGATTAAAACACAAAAGGAGTTGCATAAAAATCATATCCACCACTAGTCATGGGAGAATCTTCTTATCACGTTTTATACATAACTATCAATGTTTTACACCGTTTTTATATATGAATTTACCTTATTTTACTTCCTCTCTTTCACGCAAAACTCATTGTGACGTCACAGCAGTGGGATATGAGAAGAAAAATATCCAAATAGTGATATTCAAGGGATAAAGAAGTAACCATGGGTTAAAAATAAAAATTATACCATACAAATGGAAAATTATACAATGCAAATAGAAAATTATAAGGAACAAATAGAAAAGAATATTGCAATGTTTGAATCTCACTGTTGCTTGGGATAAAAGAAAATATTATTTGTCGTAATCTAGATATCATATCCACTCCGTTTCTTACTAGATATTTCTGTATTTATTTCCTCATGAAATGCTTGATATTTACAGACCCGTGCTTTATAAAACAGTAGTAAACAACAGCTCTTTCTCCTTTGTGTTGCCATTCAATGACTGATGTTTAATCTTTAAGAAAAAAATGGAAACGAATCCCATGTGCACTTAAGAAAACATCTTACCCTGACAATCATTATGAAGACCATTGTTCACTCTCATAACTGCTACTGGAGTTGTCTTTCCTATATAAAAAAATCATCGAAACAGTTTATTGGGGTCAATTATGAGGTGACGTTTTAATTACAAAACAGCAGAGCTACACTCTCATCCGAGAAGCCTCCCTATTTATTTCTATTATGATGCCCTATTTGTTCTTTTAGACTACCTAAAGTTTTGGATAACCTCAATCAAGACATTTGGAGGCACTAAGTCACCACTGTTTATTGTTGTCACACACATAGAAGGAAAATCTACAAATGTAAGTAATAATTTCCTAGCTCAACATTTGCAATGAAAACCAGTTCTAAAGTTATCTGTCATCTTTATTCTTCTTAAATACGCTCTACAGGAAATAGAGAAGTATTTTGAGGAGTTCTGGAAAACTGTACCAGACGAGGACAGAGATTGGTTAAGTGAGTCTCTGAATGATCGGGAATATGCTGTGGGTCTAGTTGAACTAAATGAAAAATCAAAGGAAATGCTGGAATCAATGAAAACGTCCATAGTCGAACTATTTACAGATGAAATCAATACAAAAATTGAAATGCCTTCCTCGTGGGCTTTAATGGAACAGTTATTGTATGATGGAGCCTGGAAGGTTTTGTCGCTGGGCGAAATTAAAAGGCTCAATTCATCCCTTCCAATTGAATACCAAATTAAAAGTAATGAGGAAATATCTAGATTTTTAAAGTGTTTCCATGACAATGGTCTTCTTCTGTATTTTGAAGAAGACAGATTAAAGGAACATGCAGTAATAGACATTCAGTGGTTTGCTGATGCTTTCAGCAAGATTATTGCTGATGAAAATCATATCAATAAAGATTGTAAAAGGAGATTGATCAAACAGTGGAAATCCTTCAACAAAACGGGGGAACTTCAAGATAAAGTGGTAGAAGCTCTGTGGAAAGATGAACCCTCATACTTGAAACACAAAAGTGAAATTATGTCATACATGGAGAAGCTTCAAATGCTGGTTCCTTTGAAGTCTTTTGGGGCGGTGTCAGATGGTGGAATGTCATGGTATGTCCCATGTATGAACAAAAAGCTTTTTAAAGCTGATTTCTGTGAAGATAAATGGGAATGCTCATCCATTTTATGCTATAGATTCACTTCTTTTGCCATGTTTGTGTTTTACAGACTTGTAGCTCATTGTATAAGTTTTCTAAGATGGAGTGTTTCAATAGACGAAGACAGTGAAGGAAGTCCATGTCTTTATCAAACAGCAGCAGTGTTTGATCACAAGGAACACACTGTTGTTGTTGGCATATATGATGATGATATCCAGTTGCAAGTATTGAGAATCACTCCATTGACTGTAGACAAAGACATATCAAACGAAATCGGAAAGTATATTGAAAAAGCCATAGAAAAACTGACAGAAACATTTATTGGCACAAAAATCTTCCATAAAGGATACAAATGTCAAAACATTATTTGTAATGAAAAAGATTCATCTTTCACCCTTGCAAGTGAGCTCTCCAAAATCAAGACTGATAAAGAAATTCAGTGTAGGTGTCGACTTCAGGAGAAACACGTGATAAATATACAAAGGACTCTGAGTTTCTGGGAAAAGGTAACTATTTCTAATTTTCATAGCCCCGATAAACAAAAATTAACAGTTAAGGCGTAGGCCTATATAAGGATATTTTTTTCCCATTTGTTTGTTAGATTGTCTGCATTTTTGTATTGTTTATAACTTTGTGGAGAAATCATCCCAAGATCACACTGGTAGAGAAATTGTTTATGACCTGAGGGTATCATCATGACTTGATTTTGTCCAAAATTTCATTTGGCTTAGTTGATAGGTCACTGGCACAAAAAGTGTAACATTTTAGTCCGTCCATATATATTTCATGGAGAAACATTGGACATTGGAGTTATGTCTTGATTTGTGACTCTTGGTCATTTGGTCAGGTTCAAGATCACTTTCAGAAAAAAAAGTTTAATTACTGTCCTAACCATATCTTGTATTAGAGAAACATTGGAAGATAATATTTAACGCAAAGCTTTGCTTTTAATCAGGGGGCATGTCATGATTTTACACAAGGTCATTTAATCACTAACAGGAAAAAAGTGTCAAATTAATATCCAGTCTGTAAATCTTTCGAAGTTAATACAGTTTCTATGGAGTAAAAATGGGAAAATTTCTGTTCTGTCTCTGAGGGTCCGGAGGATTGGATCAATATTTATGCAGTTTTCAAAAATCTGCTGCTGTACTGGACATCAAGCAGGCAAACTATTGGCATTATCATAATAAGCAATAAAACCTTTACTAACATTGATTAATTTATGGCCTCTTGGTTCAGAAGTCAGTCTCCTGGGTAGGGATAAATTGGTCATATATTGAAATGGATTTAATGCTATAAAAGTATTCTTTACTGATGTACATCATGTAGACAGACTGTTTGCATGACTTTAAGAGTTCTCAATCCTTTACCGATATTGTGAAATACATGACCCACTGACACATGCTTCAATTCCAAGGGTTTGCAAAATCTGAGTACAATATGATTCCCTCTACCGCATTCCTTTATTATTTTTTCAACATCCTAATGTTCTTTATTAAGTTTGGAAATTCTTATCATCTAAATTATGTATACTGATAATTAACATTCATTTGCTAATTAAAAGAGTAAGCAGATAAAACATTGCATTGTCAGCCATATTAGTTTTTTTAAAGCTTTATGTCATGCACACGAAACAAATATTTTTCAAATAATTTAATGATATTTTTTTATTCTAGTTTAACCATGGATCAATGAAAACAGTATTTTTCCGTACGCACAGACAAAAACCTCTGAAAATAAAATGATCCTTCCTTAAAACAGTTCTTTACAAATCCAATTTATCCTACATTGTAATGTTTTTCACTTGACATTACGCAGAACCCTTTGAGATGGCCACCGTCTCAGTGATATGTAATTTGAAAAAGGTTTTTTGAACTATGGAAAACCAAATGGTTCACCAAATACTTATCAATTTTTCTTAAGGCATTTCATCACTAATAGCATCATATTCAATGAAATTGAATAAATAACAGATGTGTAGAAGTTGAAAATATTTAGAAATAATTCCCATTTATTACAATTAGTCTGTAAGTGTGAAATGTGTCCTAATTTATGACCTGTAAACTTTGTTGATATTATCTCCATCTTTTTTATTTAATGAAAATCAATTTAAAACGAAATCTATCCGATAAAAAATCCTTTTAATTGTAATTCTATTTCAATCTAAAGATTGAATGCATTTTCAACCACAGTATTTATTGATATATTTATTATTTGAAGCTTAAAAAAATCACTTGTCCCCATCAACTTCAATGCATTCTTTGTTAATTCATTACTGCTTGGTTAATTACATTATTAGATTACCTGAGTCACTCAGGTGACCTATGGCAATCTGTTTTTGTCCGTCGGCGTGCGTACTGCGTCGTCCTTCATTTGTCGGTCGTAAACCTTTGAGCATTTTTAGCTTTTTCTCTGGAAACGCTGAACCAAGTTCAACAAATTTTGGTAAAGAGAATCTGTGGGCAAATGGGGACAAAACTCTGTAAATGTCATGCCCCCCCCCCAATGCGGCCTGCGGGTGGGACCAAAGCCATAAAAATTAATGCAATTTTCAAAAATCTTCTTCTCTACTCATGGACATCAAGCAATCAAACTATTGTCTTGATTATAATATACAATAAGTCCTCTATCAAAATTGTGAAACAGTAATCACTCTGTCTGTCAGCCTGTCATTTTTCCGTCCGCAAATCTACTGTTTTTTCCTAATAACTTTTTTATGGTTGACCTATTAAATTCAAATTTGGTATGTTGCTTGAATAGACAATTGGACTTACTTTGATACTAATATTGATACTGCATGTCATCCAGTTTGGTGTTAAGGTGGTGGGGTAGATTTCTTATTTTGAATGAGAATGAATAGGCAAAGAGAGATAACTGCTGAAAATGTTACTCTTGTAAACTAGGAAGGCTGTAGTGAGTGCCTTGTGATTAATTACCTCGTCTGCCATAGAATATTAGGAGCCTGATCTGTATCTGGCACATCAAGATTGATTAACACCTCTGTCTACAAGTGATGTTTATTTTGATGTTAACGTTAATCATTAATGATGTTTGCATTTCACAGAAGGGTGCATTTTTATGATGTCCATAATTCATTCTCGTTAAAATACTCTTTTGTTGAAATATAATTTTCATCGGTAATCAATTAAGAAAGAAATAGATAAAGTTAAAAATGTCAGTTTTTATTGCGGTCTTGTGTAAATTCAAAGGAAACAGTGATATACTAGGTACAGTTATAATAACCTCATTCATACAGTTGATGATTTATTATCTTCATATATTTTTTATTTTCCTTTTAATTTTTTTTATTCCAAGTTCTCAACTTTTAAGCTGTACCCTCCGATTTCTATCCCTTTGCAGGGCCCTTGCTGACTGGTCAGTTTTCCAGCTTCTTTTCTACCGTAAAATGCTTAGAATGAAAAAGGTGAAGATAACAAATAGTGGTCTAATTCATAAAAACTACATGTGAACAGGGCATAAATGCGGACGCCCGGAAATCCCAGAGATTGGATCAGGTGCGTAAGAGGAGTAAGCATCCCCTGTTGACCGGTCACATCCGTCGTGAACCCAATGTATTGATCGAGTAGATGGAACATTCTGTAGTCAAATTTAGTACAAAAGCAAAGCCTAGCACTTGATATGAAACAAATAAACTTAAATACGACCCGGGTATACGTTATATTTGCTAATAAGATCATTATAATGACCATAAAATTCCCGAAATGCTGACTTTAAACGAGGTTGTTGAAATCCCTGTAATATCAACTTATGTGCGGGTAGCTGTCTCGGTTTAAAATTTGATCGTGTTCAGAGCATGCTATCAACTATTGAAATAACGCCTACTGTTAAAATAACTATTTCAATAGTAGTTGAAAATGCATTTCAAAACCAAAACCAACTTGCAATCACTATAGAAATAACGTTAACTAATGAAATAATTATTTTGATAGTGGTTAAAATGCATTTTAAAAGCAAACCAGATTGCAACCACTATTGAAATAGCAAAAATTATTGAAATAACCATTTTAATAATGGTTTACATTGCATATCAAAACCAGAAGTACGTTTCCACACAGCATTTAAATAATGCTTACCTTTGAAATAAGTATTTAAATAGTGAGATTTATATCAATAGTAGGTGTAACATTGAAATAAAACCTACTATATGTACCTATATTTTGAACCTTTTTCTTCATGGATAATTTCAATTTAAATACACGTTAGATAATATATCTGTTGAAGGTAATGATAATCACAACAAAAAACTGTTAAATAATTCTTATTCTTCAAGTAGATTTATGTATGTATATTTCCTTGACAATAGAGACATTGGGTCACACTGCCTACACTTATAATACAAAAATCAGTTGAGTCAGATACTAATTTTTACTTCAGTAGTGGATATGCTTATTAGTGATTTATTAAAATAACAACCATTATTGAAATAAATTATTTCATTGGTGAACGTTTAATAGTGCTTTGATCTACTTTTGGTTTTTAAATGCATTTTCAACCACTATTTCAATAATTATTTCAATAGTGGCCGTTATTCTAATAGTGGTTGCAATGCTCTTGAGTAGCGAATAAGTTTGGAGATATAAACACCATATGCAAATAATAGCGGATTCATAAATAAGGAAAGTTGCCGATAAAAAACACTGGAGTCATCTCGTTTGTCATGTAATTTTGTTAGTTTTGAGTTAGCCTTTGTCGTCTATAGCCAGTAATATTATAATATGAAATATATCTGGCAGACCCTGTGGTGTCTTTCATTTCAGGTTCACAGGTATATATCGAGTCGACATAGGAATGGGAATAACTAATTACTCAAGCTCCTCTTATCGGGCTTTTACTGCAAGCTTGGAAAAACACCTTGAATGTATTTACATCTTAAGATGTTTAACTTTTATACAAAATGCGGTCGCATCCTATACATTAAATTATTAGATAAAGAGGGTTGATTGTCCCTTCTGTAGAATATGTTGGGTAAAATATTACATATAAATTCTGCTTCACAGGAATATAGAATTGATATCAGAATATTATATACCTGATGAATATCAGTAATTTAGGAGGGGGTGTACAATTGTGTTTTTCCATTATATATTTGAAATACTAAACAAGATAGGTGTGATTACATATGTCTAAATTTCAATAGAAGGGAAAAAAATACCGGTATTTCCCGTCCCGGTAAATACTACAAATTTTCTCTAAACTGGGAAATATTGGGAAATACTACATTATTAATCTTTTTATTTCTTTAATTCTATCAATTTTATTCAAAATTAAGAAAGAAATGGATATAAAAACACATGATGAATAATATTGAATATGTCTCAAAGTGCAAATTAACATAATTATTCAGAATCCAGGTCCCCATCCCATAAGCATTCTGAAGCTGTAAACATTTCCTTGGCTGTATATTAAAAACAAAACAGAAGTTTTCCAATTCAAGTTTCTTTTCATGCAGTTTTGTAAAATTATTAAGTTTATTAATTATAAATCTAAGAAAAATCACACTTGTTTTAATCTTACTATAAACTCTGTAGCTATTATAATCAATGATTATCATGTTGTTTTAACAAATTGCTCTGGACAGTTTTGTCTCCTGTTTTGAAATTTAATGTCCTTGAGTAGACTGAAAAGCCTCTTCTTAGGTTTGATATTTACACCACACTCTACATTTAACAATTTTCTTAGAACCTTCTTTAGTTACATAAAAACCCAGGGATCTTTGGGTTCATTTCATGGAAGTTTATATACTACATCTGACTCAGACATGAAACAAATAAAACAAATGACACTCGTGACTGGTATATGAATATACTGTTATGATTATATTGAAAGAATTACTTGGACACCAGAAATTTTTAAATCAGAGACAGTGATACCAGGTAGAAATCTTAGCTAAAAAGGTATACTACATGTCAATACCCCCCACAAATATAATTAAAATTATGAAATATGAAGCTATTTCTTATTTCCCAGTATTTCCCGGGAAATACCAGTAATTCCCGGTAATTACCAGTATTTCCCACTTTCTGGGAAATATGAGTATTTCCCGTTTTTGCCCACCCTGTAAAAAGCAAAATTAAAAATAAATTTTGAGTTGTGTAATTCTAATCTGTTTATCAAATAGGAACAACAAGCAGCGAGTAAAAGTGTGGAGGAATCAGTTCCATGTATGTATCATCATTGTTGACTTTTCCCATTATCTTTTTATTTTTCATGATTTTCATATTTTGGGAAAGGAAAACATTTATTAACTGAAATATGGATATCTCAAATATATAAAATAAGAAAATGGTTTGGAGAGTCTTATATGGTATCTTCTAATTTTAGCAACTGAATTGATTTTGAATGCGGTGTCCAGAAAATTACATGGAATTTCATCCTCCTTAGTGCTTGCTCATGCTTTCGGAGTACATATGAAAGAAACCGCCAATGTTGAAGAAGATAGATTTAGAATTCTCTATAAATGGAAATGCAAAAGTTCTACCGAGAATCACCTTGAAGAGTTGGAGAGAATTTTACGTGAAGCTGGAGATGGAGAAGCAGCAGATTATGTTGGGACTTTTCAAGTGTCAGACTTTGAATGTAGTGAAATATCAACACCTTCTCAGCCTGTGTCAGAGAGTGAGTTCGATATGTTAAAGGAGAACCTTTCAAAGGATTACACACATTTGGTGCGATTTTTAGGTCTGCCACATATATGTATAGAACAGCTCGAGGAAGACGTTCCATTTGTTAAAGAAAGGATGCATAAATCTTTCTTAAAATTGCAAGAAAGGCGTCCAAATTTAAGCCGTCAGGACATATGTAGAGGTTTGACGTTCATAGAACGAAGCGATGTCATTGATTTGCTGAATAAGCAATGGAAATCTAAATAGGAAATATGGACACAAAGGAAAATAGAATCACAGAGGTGTGCATATGTAAATTATTCGAAAAATTACATTCTGTAAGGAACCCTTGCAGACTTGTGTGGAGCATTTCCCTGAAATAATTACTGATAAATATTTTTATCATATACATGTACATAAATACACACAAAAAATCACTATTGTGGGTGTTGCAGAAACTCGCAATTTTCCCCTTAATCGAGAATGACATCTAAATACCCACAACGCATGACGCATAAGTTACATGTATCTCTAAATGTAGATAAAGCTACATAGATGACTTTATTTATGCGTTGGGTATGTTCAGTTTGCTATAACAAAACATTTCTTATTTTTTGTTTATATCATGCATAGTTTTTCGTAACATAGAAACCAACTCGTGACCTGTTGATGAACATTTTTAGATTGTCAATGTCGGCATATTGCATGAGAAAAGTTAGAACATTAAAAGCAATAATTAATGGCCAATGCACCTCGCACATCATTTTGAAAGATGTACTGTAGACAATGTGTGTGAATATTTTTTCAATACATATATATATATATATATATATATATATATATATATATATATATATATATATATATATATATATATATATATATATTTAAGGAATAACTGTCTTATTTTTTGGATTCATGATGTGATCAATCGAGTGGCTTGCGTGATAATTTGCATAAACGCCGAAGGCGTTTATGCATAAAATTATCACGCAAGCCAATCGATTGATCATCGTCATGAATCCAAAAAATCTGACAGTTATTCCTTATATTTACATGCTCCTGATTCTGCAAATTCCCGTGCTAATAGCCCCGCTTCTGTCTCTATTTGTCCCGCCCCGCACGTGATATTTTTTTAACCGCGCCTATCGATGAACCAGTAGATTTATGTAGAAATAAAGTATTTTTACAATTTGTAATTTTATCTCGGACAAAGACATTGGAAATGTAAATATATATATATATATGTCTCCAATAAGTATTATTGAGAGAACGAGACGGGTTCTGTATCGTAGATACAAATTTGGGGGTGGACGATCGAGTGCTTAGCACGAGTCTTCACCCCCAATTTTGTATTTACGATACAGAACCTGTCGATTTCTCTAAATGATTTGTGACACAATCAATCAAAAAAAAAAAATGCACCGCCCTTTTTATAGCTATGCAGCATCCAAACTTCCGCAAGAGTTCGTTTGTTCTCTCTGTAGATGAGGCCTCGACGGAGAGTATACGTCCGCAGCATATATATTTCCACGGACAATGTAAGATTTAGTCAGATTAGTTTTGACAACGGGATAGACGTAACAGACTTGAAGTCAGTCTTAATTGATAAGGTGGACGATTTAATGTTGTTGTAGATGGAGATTGATCCAAATTTATTTCAGGAGTCTTAAAAATCTCAGTTTAACTAAATACACATACAGGCGTTGCAGACAGTTTTTTGATGTTACGGATTTTTATTTTGTATGCTGCATCCGTGAACCCATTGGCTTTACTATTATGAAGGGGACACAAAAAGCAGGAAAAGCAAACAAGTTTTCAGGAATTTATCCAACATACGATGTTTTCCATAATTGCGAATTTTCCTTTTCGTTTGAATCGAAATAACGTGTAGATTCTGTGCGGAATAATTTTTTAAAAGTGAATGAGAGATTTTGACATTTTACATTCCTAAGGAAATATTTCTCCAAAATTTATCATAGGAAAAATTTCAGCATTTGCTATTTGTACGTGATTTTGATAAATTGAATCAGATTTATTATTTGACCGTGCTGTATTTTTTTAGATACAGAAGAGTTGGCTAACACAAGACAGTATATATAGGGCTAATACAGAACGGAAAGTAGCTCCGCTCATTGTAAGCCATTCTGTATTGCTAATACAGAACAGCAAACTTCAAAGAAGAACAACGCTATCGTGTCACAATCACGCTGTTAATGCATCATCAAAGACATTTCATTGAGTCATTTTCAATTTTCAAGGCAAATTTGAGCCACAAAATAAAACGCAATGAGTATGAAAAAAATAAATTATTTAAAAATGATACTTTATTTTCTTAGACATCGCCAACTAAATAATAGCATATTGTCTTATTAGATTTGAATCACAGTATCGAGGAAAACAGTTTAATTCTGTGTGAATTTAAAATATTACTACAGTAGATCCCATTTCGTACAGACACGGGTATAGCAAATTTACGGATATAGCGATTTTTTTTTTGAAATCTCCGGTGAAATTCATATCAATTCCTTGTAAAATTTTAAGGAAATAACGAACTCGAGTATACCGAATTTAAGTATATAGCGAACTGATTTTCTATCCTCTAGAAATTAAAAATATCGAAATTTACATCTTATATATATATATATATATATATATATATATATATATATATATATATATATATATATATATATATATATATATATATATATATATATATATATAAGATGAAAATTTGGCATATTTTATCGAGTCCCTAATTTATACTTTATTTAATGGCCAATTGGAAGTCAATATGCAGTTTCCAACATTGTTCTACATTGTTGTATATACCGTTGTATCTTAAAAAAATTAATGTTGTTTTCTGTTACTTAATTTTTTTTCTTTTAAACAGCTACACCTTAAAGGAAAATGACTAAAGAACTGCAACACCTTCTTTGTTTATTGTATAGAATATGTTCATAAATTTTAAGTGTGTTTCTTGTTTAATTTTTTCATTGGATTTTTTATCTTGAAAATAAATTTGTACATACACAAACATTGTTTGTAAATTTAATTTGTAAATCTAGAACGTATGGTTTTGCTTTCATTTTATGTGCACAATTATTATTTCTTTTTGTATTTTTCTAGTTTATTATTTGTACATAAAAGTATTATAATGATTTATATGTCACCTGAACTGTAATCTCTCTTCTCGTTGTGTTTGTAAACTTTTGATATTTTACCTGTATATCTTATCTGAGCTAAAGGTTTAACTGAGCTTTTTCTGTTCAATGGGGTTACTATGTCTGTCTGTTGTCATTTGAGTTGCGTGTGTCTTCTTTAACCCCTTCTCTACCGCATCGGTCAATATGACCGATAGCGCGTTAAAACAAGACTTCGCGAAAACAGGATCTCCGTATCTTTTTTTATGATAGCATTAAGGTATATAATCTATATATCATCTTTTAGGAAATTTTCTCTACTTTTAAAACCTGTAAAAATTTTATAGATTATACGTCGGTAATGAATAGATTTTACGTTTTGAAGACATTCATGACTTTTTGAAAATGGCGCAAATTTCCAAAGCAAGGACGATTTTCCCGACGATTGGCATATTTTTCCTGATTAATTGCATAAAGAAAGTTTGATATATTTAAAAAGCATATTTTCCCTGCTTTTAAAATATGTAAAAATTGTTGTTTTTACTTTAAAATATTTTTTAAAAACAAGCATTTTCTTCCATGTTTGTGTTTTTTCTCGTTTTTATTCATAATATTTAAACAAATCTCATTTTTACTTGTATTTCTGTATTGAAATAGGGAAAACAAAATACAGCTGGTAAAAGTGAAGAAAATGTCCATTTCAACAAGCCTTTACTGGTATTCTAACTCTCAGTATTTTCTGAATTACGATAGTTTGAATTTTGCACCTCCGCGTAATTTTTTGTTGAAAAATCGGGGCTGATCAATATTAAGGTCGATTTCGTTGCGCCTCACTCGGAACAACATACTGTTTAATACTATTTTATTATATATTTTTATTGAAATAAATGCTTTTAACAAATAATTGGTTAAAAAAAACAAATAATATCTTTAAACCTTTAGTGAAGTGTGGTATTTTTTTTTCACATAATGAATTTACTTATCTATTTTATACATAGAATAATGTTGAGTAAAAAAAAATGTACATGTATATTCCCTAAGAGTCTTTACGTCGAAAAAGTCAGAATTTATATTGCTGTATGTGTCATATATTCTTTATATAAAATATAAGTAGACCTATACTGACATGAAATTTAAATTTAATCCATTTTGAAACAAGCACTCGCATAAATTTTACACGACTCATCACTGTAAGAGTTGATACGAGTCGAGATTACCACGTGTTTCCGCTGTAGCAGTAAACAACAACACGATAATGTGAGTTCACATCAATTTTCATGATTATTTTATGATGGAGAACATCACATCAATTCATCAGATAAGACGGTCATTCCTTTGGTATTAGAGGTGAGTAAGTATTGGTTGAAGAGTTTAAAACTGTTTTGAAAGTGCATTTATTCACGTTCAAATGAAAACAAGTGGTACACTATGCACACTGATACTGATATATGTACATGCATTGGCGTTAGCCGGTATGAACTTGCATTATTAGATTGATACTTGTTCAGCTAATTTTGTGTTGTTTTTGAAGTGTATAACTTTTGATGACCACCCCAAGTACCATTCAAAGTAAAATCAAGTTTGGCATAATTCTTGAGAGTTGTCGTCTAACACAAACACATCGAATTTTTTAGCATGTTTAGGGTGCTGGTTTCGGAACGTTCAGCTGTGAAGATTCACTTGCTAACCCTACCATGCACTGGAAAGACCATGATGTGGAGGACACAGGTGCTTATTATAACCAATGAACAGGTAAATCATTTTTCTTTCTTTTTGTAGTGAAAATTCCTGTATCTCTAAACATTAATTCTAAATAAAGTGAACTTTTAATTGTATTTATTTGATATTGCATTCACACATTGACTAATATTTTGAAAAAAAATATGTGATACACATGATATTTATAATGCATTATTATGCATGTAAATTCGCCATTTTACCACCCATTATGCTCAAATATGGAGCCAGCTTTCTTTTATAGACCGCTGTGGTATTTTCATTCTGCATGATGTATGTGAATAGAATTTCTGTTTCTCAATTTTCAGTTTCTTTTGAATTATCACATATACATGGATGGTCAAACTTCATTCAATGGATGGCTATTTGTCAACACTCCCATGCACACGAACAACCTTG